GGTGGCATTTCTGGCATGTATCATTACACTTAGTTTTGCAATCTCCATTTAACCTTTTCCTTCACTACTCTCAATCCTTAGTTGAATCTTCTATTAACCTAGAACAAGTCATTCCTCTTCCAAACACAAAATGCTTTTTGATTACTATTCTCCCAGGAAATTTGGTTGTTTGAATATTTGAGCAGTTGTTTTCTCTTATTTGGGTCTTAGATCGCCTCCTTAAAGATAATTTTTCTAACTAGCATTAACAATCCTACTCTGCACTGACCTTTCTTGTGTATCTCCATTCTAGTTCTCATTGCCTGGTATCAGTGTATATATTTGTTTGATTATACTGCCATTACATATCCAGTGAAATGTGACCTTGAGGACAGAGATCATGATTTACTCTTTACTGTTATATCCCTAACATACACAAGATAACTTGCTGCATAATAGACAATTTAGAAATATTTAGTAATTCAGTAGCATATGAAGTCTTTAAAATATAATGTCTCTATTTTTTCATCTAATATAGTTACAATCATTATGATTACAGCCACTTAGCAGCTATAGGCAGTTGTGAACTAACTGCTTATGTGAGTTCTTGAAACTGAACTTGGGTCTTCTGCAAGCATAGTTAGCTTTCTTAACCGACGAGCCATATCTTTAGCCTTCTATTTCTTTTACTGTCTTTCTAGGGAGAGTAGAAACCATCATACAATGTTTACCTCAATTTCTTGAGTTTCATTACTCTCCTCAAAATACTGGTAGTATCTGAATTTCTTCCACTCTTTCCTTCTAAGCAGTAATAATTTGAACCTGGATAATTCCCCATGTATGATTTAGATAAGTCCCATTGTTTCAAGAAGCTGGTCTTCCATTTGCATTTTCCTCTCCCTTCTGTAGGCTTAACTAGTCCCTATAAATTGATCCTGTCTTCCTCTAACATTCTTTACCTCATTTGTTAAGACAGACTCTCTCACTGAACTTAGATGTCACCAATTCAACTAGACTGTCTAGCCAGCAAGCCCCAGGGACTCTCCAGTCTTCCCAGAACTAGGATTTTAGTTGTCTTCATGTACTGCCATACCCAGTTTTTACATGGCTATTGGTGGTGTTAACTTAGGTCTCCCTGAACTATTTCCTCATCCTCAAATTGTCTCTTTTTTGTAATTAATCTTTATCTCTGAGTTCTCTCCCTGAGGTTTTTCAGGGCAAGGTCTTTGATTCATTATATATTTTTCATATATGAACATATTATGTAAAGTAACTACCATAAACAATATAGTATGGATAGTTAAAATTAGATATAGGCAGAATTAGATAGAGCAATATGGTTCATTGTATTACTTAAATGAATGCAGATATGTATCTTAGTTCCCAATTCCAGGTTAGAGCTCAGCACTGCAGGGGATAACACTGTAAGAGGACAAAAACTTGAACTGCCAGTCACATCCACAGTCAAGAACAGAGAGAAATGAATGCCTACTGATCAGTTCATTTTCTGTGCTGTAGTACAATTTAAGGCCCAAGCTAGAGAATGAAATTGCCCACTTTTATAGTGGGCATTCCCATATCAATTAACACAATCAAGATCCTATCTCCAACAGGTTGCCCATGGAGTAACCTGATCTAGAAAACCTCTCACTAAGAATGTCTCCCCAAATGATTCCAGATTTTGCCAAGTTGACAATTAAAACTACTATCACATATAGATAGATGTATAAAATTTAAATTGTGATAAAAAGTTTGTTCTTATTTTTATTACTTAAATTTTGTTTTTGACAATTTCGTATGTATGCAATTCATCTGATTGCTGTCACCATTACTCTCTCTTATCTCCTTCCCAACACTGTATTTTTTAAACAATGAAAAGTACAATTCAATAATGTTAAGCACACTCACAGTTAATCTCCAGAATACTTTTTAATCTCACAAAATTTATCAGTCTCCACTCATGAAAGGACAACTTCTCTGCATCCTGCTCTGACAAGGCAGGTAAAAAATGTAATCGTGATTAGAATATATCATGCTGGAAATGGTGAGAGAAACTAAAAGGTAAGTTTACTTTACTATTTAAATAATCTATGATTAAATCAACTGTTGCATCTCTTTACCTATAGAATATAAAGTGGCTGAGAAAACAAAGGACATGTTTATTGCCATAAGTGATTGTTTCAAAGACCTAGCCATAAGCAGCTTATAAGATGACTAAATGTAAAAGCTTTTAGCAAAGTCAGGATAATGTTTTCTTCCCCTTCTGTTTTTCCTGCTTTGGTGGTTGTTTTTTGTCTAATCACGGAAAAAAAGAATTTACCAAGCAAGCTAATAAGCAGGAGGACAAGTTAAGCACTATTTTATTTAATAGAAAAAGCATTTAGCAGCGGGTCTCTATTCACACAATGACTTTGTTAATTATAAATGAGCCTCATGTAGTATTTAAAGCATTTATAAGGTTCTTAGAAGGCTTTGAGCTCTGTGCCCCTTCTGCTTATAACAACGCGACTATAATCCTCCAACAGGAAGAAAAGTATTGCTTTTGAAATGTCCTATTAGTCAGACTTTTTTATTTACTTAAATGAACACCCCCTTATCTTGCACACTCTCCCTCCCTTTACTTCCCAACACTCCCTGCCCCTGACTGAAAACACTGATGCTAAAACATAGGCAGGCAGAGTGTACCATACAAGCCCTTTAAAGAACTAGTCTTTTCTATCTGTGCCTTCAATTCCTGTAACTATTTTTGCCCATGCTAACTGTCATTCAGCCACAGCAAACTCCTTGCCACCCAACAGTGTTCTGGGCCTCTGCATGGCCTTTGCTGCAGTATAGTCTGATGATTCCTGCTCAACATTTAATATATAGACAGGAAACTTCATAGCCTTTCTTGAGCTGCCTTTTCCACACCTGCATGCACATTGATAGCACTTTACTCAAAACAGTTAGGATTCAAGTTACACATTATGACAGTCCTGTGTTCATAGGCTCTCTTCAACAATAGACTGTTATGAGCAGTTAGAAAAAAGAGATTAGAGTACAAATTCCAACCTTTCTACTTAACCCTAAATATCTAGCATACTTTTTGACCCTGTTGATATTCAATAAATATTTTAAAATGATTATTTTATTTGGATCAGGAAAGTGAATAGTACTGTGGTCTAGCAGCAGAAAGATAAAAGAGATAAGAATTCTGAAGAAAGTAATAAAAGAGATGCAGGAAAACTGGCAACAAAAGAACAGGAAAGTTAGGAAGGAAATCAGGGGAGAACTGCTAGAATAAAGAAGTTAACTCTATGTTTTCATAAATGGCATAAAAGAAACTGGGGTATCTGAAGAAGAGCTGGAGGGAAGACATGGCGAGAGTTTCTAGGTTCTGAATTAGGCCACTGCCTTGGGCTGCAATTAGGAGCTAGCTCACCACCTTGCTACATAGCATCTCTATTCTAGTCCAGACATAAACATTAATCATTGTCTCCTTTGTTTTGCAAGATGGCAGCTCCAGTGCACAGGACCACATAAACATGAGCGTGTGTGTGTGTGTGTGTGTGTGTGTGTGTGTGTGTGTGTGTGAGAGAGAGAGAGAGAGAGAGAGAGAGACAGAGACAGAGACAGAGACAGAGATAGAGAGATAGACAGAGACAGACAGAGACAAAGACAGAGAGACAGAGAATACTTCTTACTATGTTTTAGAGTTTATGCTGAAAAAAAAAAACCCTTTCTCTCTGGGGAGGCTGTGGTTCCCATAAGCAGCCTGGCAAGAGTGGAAAGCCTTTGTATACCCCCTACTTTGATAAGCACCTTTATAGTGCATGAGAACAGCATGCTGTTGTGGTGATGCATGTAAACACTCCATATAATTTATTATGATCTTTAAGACAGAAGGACTTTACAGATTCACCAAGCTCTCTTCTTCACAGGAGACACACAGGACACACAGGAGGTGTGTCCCTTGATGGTCGCAGCACTCCATATAATTTATTATGATCTTTAAGACAGAAGGACTTTACAGATTCACCAAGCTCTCTTCTTCACAGGAGACACACAGGACACACAGGACACACAGGAGGTGTGTCCCTTGATGGTCGCAGCCTTTTGAAGTTTTTTTCCTCGGGTAAACAAGAGTATCTTGTGCTATAAGAGAAAGCAGCACAGACTATCTATGGACAAAAGTCAGGAACTCAGATTGGTAGTATGAGCTTTGCCATTTAATCTGAAGCTGATTTACATATCGAGTGGGAATAATGTCACTTACCTCATAGGGTTACTATGAAGGATGAAATCACAGTCTATAAGACCTCACATTTCCTGCCAATTCCCATTGTCACTCTCTCCTGATCTCACCAGTCTGCCAGCTATTTTCATCTTCAGTTTACAAATGAAGAAAGTAAAGCTCACAAAGGAAATGTGATTTACCTAAATGCATATAACTAGAAAGCTAATCTTCTAGTTTTCTTTCTGCTGATGTAATAAAACACTCACCAAAAGCAGTGTAAGAGAGGATAGGGTTGATTTGGCTTACACTTTCAGGTCACAGTCCATTACTGAGGGAAACTGGCATAGGTACTCAAGCAGGAACTTGAAGCAGAAACTATGGAGAAATACTGCTTTCTGGCTGATCTGAAGGTCCATGCTTAGATAGCTTTCTCAGTATAGTCTAGAACCCCCTGCATAAAAATAGTGGTGTCCATAGTGATGTAGAACCATCTACATCAGTGAACAATCAAGAAAAGCCCCCACAGACAGGTTCAAAAGCCAACCTTGTCATAGACAATCCCTAAATTGAGACTCACTATGTCAAGGTGTCCGTTGGGACTGACTAAGATAGTGAAAAATGTGCATGCAGGTTTTCTGCTTTAAAAATATTATGCCTATACATAAACCTGACTACTTAGTAGGTTCTTTAATGCCCCTCATGGTTCTTCTTCCCTGTAGTCTCTGAGGGTACTTTGTGCTGTGAATTCATTATCTTTTGTTTGTTTTGTTCTCCCTCCCAACTTCCCCTCTTTTTCTGCCTCTAGAAGAAAACACCAGCAGCCCCAACAAAGAAAACAAGCACCACTTTCAACATCGTAGGAACCACCTATCCTATCAACCTGGCCAAGGATACTGAGTTTTCTACCATCTCCAAGGCTACTGCTGCTCCAAGTGCTTCTTCAACTCCAACAGTGATTGCTTCACCCAAGGCCACTTATGTGCAAGACAGTCCTGCTGAGACCAAGACCTACAACAGTGTCAGCAAGGTTGACAAAATTTCCCGCATCATTTTCCCTGTGCTCTTTGCCATATTCAATCTTGTCTATTGGGCCACATATGTGAACCGGGAATCAGCTATAAAGGGTATGATCCGCAAACAGTAGATAGTAGTGGCAGCACAGCAACTAGAGCACTGTATACCCCATGAAGCATACAAACCCCAAACCCCAGGTCTTCCCTCATGTGTTTCAGGATTCTTTTCAACCTTGTTCCAAGCTGAGTATAATCACTTTCTCAATCATATTTATGAACTTCAATGAAAATGTAAAACAGAAAATTGACTTGTCCCTTAAACATTGCTTGGATTGAGCCAAACACTTGCCATTTGTCCAGTTTCTCATCTTAGTATTCCAGTCTCCCCCAGCTGATAGCACTGCATGTGTTTATTTCACTTTCACTCTGCCCACTTCAGAAAGGACAGGAGATGCTACTTTTTCTAGTAGAAACCTTGGCTGTGTGAGGTCTAGGGTGTTGAGATCCAGGACCACTATTGACTGGGATTCATTGGATGATTCACTACAGAGTCAGGCTGAGCTATCTCATATGATATTACTTACCTAACACCTTCCATGCACCCATCAAGGCTTACTAGGCATATGAACTGGTAGAATGTAAAGACACCTATGGAAACATTTGAAGTAACCTATAAATAGTTTCTTGCCTTGGAGGTCAGTGGGGACAACTGAAGCTCACCTCTGTCAAACATAAGAGGGGGGGCGGGGAAAGGAAGAGGGAGAGGAAGAGAGAGAGGGAGAGGGAAATAGTTGGATCATTCCAACATTTAAAGCAGTGGGCTCTATTGTAGTTTTAGCCAGCCCCTCAGCAAAGTAGTGCCTGAATATATGTCTCCTGCTTACTTTGGATACATGGCTGCCTGCAAACTCTTCTGGGAAAAAAACTGAACAGATACTTTTGACTTAAATTAAAATGGAACATGTATATACAAAATGATCTAGATCAAATGCCTACACAAGAATTGTTCAAAGATGGTGAATATAAGAAAATCACCTTCATGCCAAGGCAATTAGTCAAATATTAGATGGAATATGATGATGGTAGTTAAAGGCTGAAATCTTCCTCAAAAGAAAGGGCCACAAACAGATTGTATACATATAGTGCCCTCTTTCAGGCCTGGTCACTTTGATCCCCATTATGTCAAGGACTTCTTACCTGATTTGGATGCCATTTGTAATGAGGGGTGAATTGAAGAGTCATAGAATTAGGTCTACTTATTTTTACATCAGTTAAATCACTAACTTTATTACCAATTTTATAATGAATTAGAGGCCATTTGATCTCATGTGTTCTTAAATGTGAACAAAAAGAACAGGGGCAATTTTTATAAGGTAGTCTCAGAAGTTTGGATAATTTCCCTGTACCTCTTACAAATGTCTTTAATAAAGAAATATTCCACACCAATTTCCAATGTGAAGGAATAGCTGAAAAGCCAGGGCCATTCTGTACTTAAAATTAGTACAACCATGGAGGGCCCTCTGGGTCATAGAGTCAGTTTGGACACTATAAAGGTCTTTAGAAAGGTGACAATATATTACCCAAGAATATCACTTCTAATAGTAATGACTCAAAGGAATGAGACTGTTTAGTACAACAGCCCCAGCCACTTTGGATCTGAATAGCTCAACTAGTCCAGCATATCCTGAAGGTCTAAGGTAAAGTCACAAGTAGTACCACAAGTAGATTCTCCCTGCCCACCCACTGAACAAACCTCCTAAGGGGTGTATCATTAGCTGCTGGTTGCCTTTTCATCCATCTTTCCCTTATTCTGTGCTTCCTTGCCATTGTTGGGATAATGCATGCCAGTCCCATTATTAAGACTGTTTCTGTAGGTAAACTTATGACTAGAAGAGTGTAGTCTTGTGAATGTGTGGGGATGGGGGGTGGGATAGGGGGCTGTTAATGATTGTCTTAAGAAATCTAGAATGGAAGCCTGATCTTTTCCTTTCTGTAGAAATTGTGTGTTTAAATGCTTTGGTGCAATGTTTAGCGGCTGTTTATTAAACTCTTTACGAATTGTACTTCTGTTGGAATATTTTCATTGGTTGCTATTAGTCTTACAGACAGTAAGTACTATATTCACTTTGACATCTACTCTGGTACCATCAACTTTCCACTTTATAACACCATTACAATATACTAGAAGAGGGTATTTCCAGGGAACAAGATTGGTTACAGCGATCCAAAATGGATCCTATGTAGAAACACAGCTTTGAATGTCTCAAGGACATCCTTAACCAACAGGAATGAGGAGGAAACATCTATATTGCTTCTCTGCTAAATTCACCAAATCCTAAGAAGTAGAGAACAGTATTTTCATTGCTGTTCTAGACACTTTCCCCTTTCCAGCGAGTACTGTTTCCTTTCAGCAGTAGTTCAGGTCAAGTGATTGAGAGAATCTGAGTGGTTAAACTATATGTTAGGCAATGCATGTCACCTTTATTTTTCATAGTGTTATGAGATATCTTAAAAGTAAAACTAATCTTAACAGATATACTTGAGAAATTTACCTGGCCTCTGGGAATAGGAAAAGAGCTCCTTAGGAGAGTGTAGCCTGTGTGTGTATATATGTGTGTGTGCGTCACACCCACACACACCCACACACATATATACACACACACACCACAATTGTTATTCTCCAAAATGAAAGAAAGACTTGGGCACTGATACTCATTCTAATTCTATGATCATGTAATAGATGGTACTGCTACACAAATCCCTTTGTCCAGGTCCATGCAATTCAATATCACCTCATATTGATATGGCAAAATTCCAGAAGCAGTTATGCTTATAAAATTACTCCATACAACATTACTCCATACAAGGAAACAAGTCTTGTTTCCTTAAGTACATCCTGAAATCACTTTACCTCAGAAAACTATGTGCTTAGTTTTAGAGGAAAATCACCATCTGTTGCCTCCAACACTTCTGGTTGCTGGGACCAGTAAATCTAGGTTTGAATATTTTATGGTACAAAATCCCTGTGTGTGTGTGTGTGTGTGTGTGTGTGTGTGTGTGTGTGTGTGTGTGTGTATTTGTAGAGGGGGATGAGAAAAAAGAACAGAAAAAAGGGGGAAGGAGATTAAAATGAAGAAAGAACTCAACACAAAAAGAAAAAAAGAGAGTGGGAGGATATCCCCAGATCATAGAGTATAACAAGATATAAGTACATACCCCTTAGCACATGGTAGGTGCACAATGTTTATTGAATGAAAAAATGCTAATTTATATCAGAACCATATGGAGGGGCTCTTACTGTAATGTTGGAAAAAGTAGGAGCTGTATCTATGATCAGTAGATATCAGAGGAATCAAACAAATATAATGTGCAGCCTTTTGAAGCAACCCTGAGAACATCCCAGTGCTAATAAACATGCAACGTTTTAAGCCACTTTAAATAGCTTTTTCCTAATTAAATCTTTGTTCCTGTGTGCTTTTAAACAGAGAGGTTTCATTAATAATCCATTAGTCCCTCTTTCTAAAGACCTATATGTTGGTAGAAAGACATGACTGAGTAGCAGACCTCTCTGAAACATCAGGCATATCTATCAACTCCTTCAGAGGCTGATCTTGGGAAGAAGGCACCCTAGACCTCAAAGTCCTTGCAAAAGGTCCAGTATTAAGTGGAAGTATTAGGAGGGTATAGGAAGATACAATCAGGGGAAATTCACTCAATAGGGCTCCAGAATTTCATCCAGAACATCAATTATGTGACTATATATTATAGTAAGGTTAAAGGTGTCTGCACTTGTTGATAAAATTGCTTTCTGCCTTATATTTTCCTTTAAATTGTAATGTTTAAAGTATAAAATATGATTTGCCACATTTGTGGCAAATGTGCGCAGTGAAATGATTATCATTGCCAAGCCTAAATTTAGGTGTGGGGCTTTATCTATGTTTGGGCTGTGGTTTTGTCTTAGTTTCTTTTGTGATGCAATGATTTAATGCTCTGACAAAAGCAACTTAAGGAAGGGCTTACTTTAGTTCTTGGTTCAATGTACACCATGGCAGGAGAGTCAAGGCAGCAAGAGCTTGAATCATTGCCCCAAATCAGGAATTAAAGCAATATATGCATGCACGCACACTGCTCACTTCACCTTCTCTATTTAAGTACTTGGAATCCCAGTCAGTGAATGATCCCGCTTACATTGTGCCAATCTTCCCATTTCAATTAAGATAATTCAGATAATCTTCCACAGCCATGCCCAGAGGTCATCTCCTAAGTGATTCTACATTCTATCACATTGACAATTAACATTAACCATCAGTGTTCTTCTTTTACTTTATACTTCACATATGAGTAAGATCACCATGCACTTGTCTTTCTATGAATGGCTTATTACAATTAAGATAATGACCTCCAGAGCCATCTTATGACAAATGGTAGGGATAACTTGGTGCTGATCTAGTTTCTTCTTTAGATTCGATAATTTGAATGGGTAAAGCATGTCCATGAAAGTGCCAAAGAGGTACCACTTCTCTTATCACAGGAGCAAGGCCTCTCTGGCCTAAGGCTAGCCCCTCCTTTGTTCCTTCTCTCTGCTCTCTTCTCAAAGACTTTTGTTATCTGCTTTCAGTGCAACTGCTCTCACTGAGTCCCCATTGCCCTCCTTCCTAAAACCTAAAGGCTTTTCCCACTTATCTTCCTTGACCTGTCAGCAGCACTTCATACTGTTCACAACTACTTTATCCTTGAAACTTACTCTGGGTCCACGACATACTACACTCTCCAGAGAACCACTTTTTTGTGAGTTTTTGGTTTGTTTTCTTTTAATCCGCTCAACTGTTCCTTTTTTTCTTTAGGATTGTGATCCCCTATCATGGTCTTGTTTCCTTCTTCACACTCTCCCTGAATGATCTGATGTCTCCTGATGGCTTAGGTTACCAACTCACACTTTATCTCTTTTTTAACAAACCACTCCTGAGTGAAAGTTCCTCTTGATCTTATCTGAAGAGCACACCAGGTATAGCTTGTCTCTCTTCCATGATTTTTGGAGCTACGGACTGGGTGATTCAAGAAAATGTGGAATAACTTTATTAACTGGAATATCTGAGACAGATCAATCTTTTTCTTGGAAATGCACTGGCCT